ATATATATATATATATATATATATATATATATACATTCATCTGAACGAGGCAGTTAAAAGTGCCTTTTCTCAAAAGACAGGGTTTGATGGCAGCAACGTCGTTGTATTTCTGGCTTACAGCTGTCAAAAAAAACATGTAGACAAAGGGTAACCCGAAGCAGCTACCAGCACGCCCTAGTAGCAGTGTGCAGATGGGAGTTAAAGGCTAATTAGTAACAATAAGTCGTCACTGCCAGGTTTGACTTGTAATGGAAACAGGGAGGCATGAACTTCAAAGGAAAAAAATAAGGTAGTAAAAAGTAGTTTTTAATAGTGACGTCGCATTATGGTCACGAAAAATGTTTAACTGTTTTACCTTGAGGCTAGTCGAACACTTGTAGTGGAAAGTCTTTCCTTTTTCCACCTTAGTTATTAGTAAAAATACCTGTTTGGTTTTCCTTGGGCATTTTATTTTTCCTTTACTTTAAGCTGTTTCTTACGATTTACAACAGCTGGAATTTCAAGATAATAACTTTAGCATGACAGTTTCAAATCAGAAGCAGTACTTTGAGCGGTGGTAGTTACCTAACCGGCTCTAGCTAAAACTCTAAGTTACGTAAATTTAGTCATTCAGCACCCAATAACAAAGAGTAAATTTACTTGAGTGAAAAGAAAGTAGTAAGGACTTTGCTAGCAAAGTTACATTAGGCTTCATTTCGTTTACTTTTGGCATGATAGTGACACCAGAGTTTAGCATTAACCACGTCTTTTTGGGGGTATAAACTGGTCTCCATGTATTCCATTTGTTGAGTAAGGAAAAAGAATTTGTTGTCTCTTTGTACCAATATTTTTTAAAATTTTTTTTGGAGGGTTAAGACTTATTTTACTTTAAATTTGTGTTTAAAATCTTACTTCCCTATTTCGTTACAAAAATTTAGCTTGAAAAATCGGTGCATAATTTCCATCCTACAATGGCAGTTTGTGGTTGCTTCCCTAGAATAGTCTAGTAATGTAGGTGTGAAGGTGAAGGTGTGAAAATTTGGTGTTACTCTGAAGACAGACTGTACAAGTGGTACGAATTTTAGCGGTGCATTTGTGGCTCAAGTTCCTTCTGAGTAGTAGAGGTCTGTTACATATTTAGAACCTTGAATTTTAAAACACAAATGTTTCTCATCTCAATGTCTTGGTGGAAAGATTGGTTAGTGCCGTTGATGTGGGAAACTTTTTAAAAACTTAATTGCTCAGTGGTCAATCGGGGTATCCAGTTCAAATAATTCCGCATTTACTAAAAAGTGTGTAACTACCATGTCCTAAATCGATTGAGTTTTAGTCAAAGTATAAAAGGCTTTGAAGTGTATTCACTAAACCGTAAAATATTCAAGCGAAAGACAGAGTACGGTGCGAAAACTGGTATCACTATCGTGCCAAAAGTAGACGCATTGAAGACATATGTGTGTATAAAAAATTAGTGTCAGTGACGTAATTCCTTCTCGCTTTCTGCTTAGTCATTTATTGTCTACTTCCTTCTCTTCCTTATTGTTATCCTCTTCTTCTGCTTTTACACTTAGAAGTGACCAGCTATTCAGCACACTGCAGCTGTGAAGTTCAAAGATAATTACTTTTTTCGGTAGGTTCGTGATGATTTTATACTAACAATTCCTTGAATAATACGTTTAATTTGGTTGGAAGTATTAATAATGTGATTTCTAGGACTGGTTAAAACAAAAATCAAGATTCCTATTTCTGAGGTGCAATATGGTGGCTGCTATCAAGACGCGTATCAACCTGGTAGAATTTGTTGCCGAGCCAACTGGCTGTTTTCGAGCAAAAGACAGGCGCCTCAATCGATGTCGACATGGTATGGCACAAATAAACTGCAATACAGTGTAAAAAAACAAAATCTTAGTGTATATGTTTGTGAAAAATCGTGTCGTTTTTCGAGCTAGTGATCACACATATACCGTTGTTATGTCACAAAAGCAGTTTCATGACGCATGACTAACAAGTACTGAATTTGAGCATGAGCTGTAACATCGACGTCGTACTTGACTGAGGAGTATTTGGTTTAAATGTACACATGATTAATTTCAGCTTCGTAATAAAACATAGCTTTTCTTTCTAATTTTCGTACATATCATTACCTTGAATTGTATTGTACAGTAAAATTCGTAATAAAATTCTTTATTCTAGAACCGCAGTATCCTTAGGTTTTTATTATTATGGAGTCGTTTAGTAAATTACTAAATAATGGATTTTTTAAGCACTTCTGCTTACAAAAAAAAACATAAATTTTTGGAACGGAGAGTTTTTTCCTTTCAGTAAATTAAACTCTAGGTTGCAAAAAATCAAGAGCAGCTCAAGCAAACTTCTTTGTCAGCATCTAAAACCGACATGGCATTTTACAGCCGTAAACACTCGTGTGGTGTGTCTTCGCACAATGATTTATTTTGGTCAAACCATCTTGATTAGAAGTCGGACACGTTGTCGAATAAAGAGCACCAAACGCTGGAGTGCCATATAGCCAGTTTATATGGCAGCAGACAGTTTTGCCATGAGCTGGTGATACAGAGCAGCCACCAAACAGCTTATCCACCATCATGCCGAACAAAGGATTTTGAGTTTCAAACGGTTCGACCATTTCTAAAAGAAAGTTAGCCTTGCCAATCTATACAAAATAAAGCATAGTTAACCCTTTGTAGGCGCCTGATATAAGTATTCTCGGTAAAAAATTTTGAGGCGAATAGCAAATTTTTGCCGCATCTGGTTTCCAAAGTGAGTAAACCATTTAAAACTGTAATTTATTCTTGAGAAAGTTCCTCTGTAACTTTAATCCGTAGCTGTCTTAGACAACAGTATAAACAAAATATTTTTCTCATAACAACAGCTGGGCTGCTTCACTCAGTGCTATTTGTGACTTAAGTAAATAAGGCATTTTTTAGAAGTATGGACTGGTGCTGAAACGGCGAGAAGTGCATGCTCAAGAAGTTTAATTTGGAGGAACGTAATTATAAACAAGTTGGCGTTTGGCAGAGGTCACAAGGACGAGCGCAACTGGAAAATTCAGGATTTATTACTATCCAAACAAAAATTTATGATAAAGTCGCACTATGCTTTGCAGCGGAAAGGTATAAATTATGAAGTAGTATTAAGTGAAAAAACCTTTTTTAGCTAATAGGCCATTAGGCCTTCTTGTAAAACGATTCCAAAGTCACCTCCAGTTTTATGTCGACAGATTACATTATTGGTGCAGCTATAAACTTACAATAGATTTTACAAATAAAAGTCAATTGGCTGGCTTCTATATGAGCTCTCTCAAAATAAGGGCTGGATCACTTCTGTTCTTGACTGTTCCTCATTACCATCAGTAATAACGCTGTTTTTTGTGCTTGTTGTATAGTCATATGCTTTTTTTGGTTGTTTTGAGTACTTGTTTTTTTCCTATATAAAATGAATAGTGCCGTAAAAAGTTTAATTACCAAAATTAGGCGTTTAATTAGTAAACTACAGTGGGTTCATTAGTTCCGCGCGGCAGGCAAAACATTGCTTTTAGAAGTTCCACTGGCAGTAGAGTTCCTGAGACTACTGAAGAAAAGGGGGAGAAAGTGCAACAAAACTGCCAAGTCGGCAATCAAATTAAATCCTGTTTTTCGGATAGCTAGATATGCTTTTTCAATTGTATACTCTTCTAATGTGCTTATTTCAGAATCAATAACTAGTTTAAAACGTTGTTACTTTCAAACAGCGAGAACTCTGTATCTGTACACGCTTCGGCAAGTTCGGCACCTAGACGACGACACTTTGCTGCAGCAATTGGAGTTGTCAGAGGTCCGGCAGATGACTTATATATCTGCATAAAGAAAGAGAGTCTTCAACTAATTGGAAAAAAGCAGTAAAAATAACAGTACACAGTACCAAAGTTGCTATTCAATTGAATAAATATCTAGCGCTGGACTTTCTTCATTACTACAAGCATCAAACGCGAATCTGGAGAGTCAGACAGCTAAAAACCAAAAAGCTCTCAAATATAATGGTAGTACGTAGGCTTTTTTATTTAAAAGAAAATCGTTTGTGTCACCTGATAACAGTGCTCATTATAAACAACCCAGTTTCTTGGGCATCTGCACCAAATTGGTACTGGAGTGCTAGCGGGAGAATTTACATCGAAATAACCTGAAAATCTCGCAAGTTACTGTTCGCTTATTAAATATGTCCTACCTTCGGTAAAGCCAGCTAATAAGTTAACACCATTTCGCTATGTCTAAAGTTAAAGAAACTTCTTTTAACTTCAATTTTTAAAATAAAAAAAATTTCGAATTTTTTTCTGCTGGCCACCTACTCTTTTTCTTTTATTCAATGACTTTTTACTGAAAACTGGGTCTGTAATGTGATTATTTCTATGACTTATGTTTAAAACTATCGATTTATTCATTTCTTCAAACCCCCCTTTCTTTCATATTTGATTGTATTCCTATTTTTTTCAGCGTGAAAACTATTAAATTCGACTTGGGGTGAAGACAGTGAAAAGATCGAATAAGGTGGTTTCTTACTGCTCGTTACTATTTTGGTTTGGATTGCAGTGGACGTCTTTGATTTGCTGCTCACTAAATTCGAGGGTTGCTCAAAAATAAGCGAGGCTTTAGAGTTGACTGTTCGCACACCTAAAGTTCAAGAATTTTTTAGAAATAAAAACCAAGTATTTTGACATAGCTAGAAAAATACCATTAAACTGAGGAAGTTAAAGTGTTTTTAACTACAGCGCACTCATTTCTGACTGTTTTTTTCTTTGAAAAATAATATCCGTTTGTTATTATTTGTTACATTTATTTATATTAAATTGGTTTTAAGACAAATTACTGGTAGCATTATATTTGCAGACCACTCCGTTCTTTTTTAAACAACATGTATCGAACCACTTTGCTTTATTATGAATCCACCTCAATTCAGCACAATTCACGTGTGAACCACAACACATATCCGGTTGAAACTGCTGCCAGTTTTTGTGCTTCATATCAGTGAGATCATTCCAAAACCACCGATTCTTAATCCTATTTAACCCGATCCATATTGGATTGTATTCTGCTAAACCTGAATTGTTGAATGGTTAAGTGCGAGAAAGCATTTAGATCTATTATTTCTTGGATTTAAATATTCCCAGCAACTCGTTAATAAAAAATATATTTGTTTACGGTTTCAAACATATCCTTACGAATGAGTTTTTTAGAAGAGGCTTACGGCTGATAAATTCTTCTTCGGCAGCAGAATGTAGTGATACGACGTTTGCATTCAAAGCAGCACACATAATGAACGCATGCTGATAGCTGACCGTTGTAGGTGACCAAAAGTAATTTAATCATGAGATGTCGCCAAAGCAACGTTTAAAGAAACTTTTTAAAGTTTTTTAAATAAAAATGATTATTCAGCAGCCAAAAATGTCTATAATTTTTCCTCAGATGTGTTTGCGATCATGTCTTTTCAAGCACTTTTTGGCATAGCTGCGTCATGCAAGGCAGTTTCCTGGCAGACGCTTTCCGCTGTGCTTATTTACCACAACAAGGCAACCATTCCTCACTATCAATTTTGTAAAAAGTGCTTTTTTTTGAGAAGTGGCACGCCCCTTGCCTCCCTCAACTATAAAACAAATTGATTTAAAAAGAAACTTCTTGGTACTGGTGGTTTATTTCAGGAGATTAATCTTATCGTCTGGCATAACCTCCACTGGTAAATCAAGAGATATTTTGTATTTTATCAGTCCTCTTGACTGATACGTACGACGTTTTCAAAAGAAAAATTTGCATTTTTCAGCTAAATAGCTAAGGAATCTTTGATTACCTGCGGCCATAAACTGCTTTCAGAATCACTAAATTAATAAAAAGTCCCTCACTTTTAGTTCACAAGACTTACGCTGTAGTAACAATTGCCTCGCCAAAAAACAAACGATCTTTCGCACTGTTTGCCTAAATTTCCAAGGATCATAGTTAGTTTTCATAATTTATTTGATAATTTGTAAGTAATTACTTTTTTTGGCTGTATTTATTTTAAGAAGTCGTCCAGGTAGGTCGAAAAGTTTACGTAATGTATTGGTTGATAATCTCTTATTACCAATCCAACAATGTCGTACCTGAATCTGCTCTGATGGTTGTTTTATACTCGATCATTTCGGCAGGGAGAGGTGTGCGTCTTGCTAAGATAAATTTAAAAATCACTTATTAAGTTTATATATTGACGGATGGCTTAAATACACTGTTTTCAGAGTTGTAGACGAACGCAGTTCACATGTTCGCAAGCATTCATTTGCATGGCGCTCAACAGGCGGCAATGGCTGAAGACGAAACTAACAAACTTGACTGTCCTCGCTATAGCTTTTTCGCGTAAAGTAGCAGCCATGCTCTACAGTAGTATAGTTATGCGTCGTAGAATAATTTATGAAAGCAGTTTTCGTTAGAAATGTTCAACAAATCTAGTTTGTTTTTCAATACTTTGGTGTATTCATAAACACCAGTCTCAGACAGTGTTCCACAATGAGAAAAATTAAAGTGCTTTATATTACAATCATTATTACTTACTACGAATTATTTTTGGTCAAGAATGCAAAAAAGACGAGTATACTAATTTTTCACTACTGCCTATGAGCGAAGCACTACGGACGTTCACTTCTGTGCGAGAAAGACGAATGATGATTGGTATAAAAAAGCGTATCGTCCTTTGCAAATTGCGTATTTCGCCTACTTTGTTTGCCGAAAATCCAAATGCTGACAAATATATTTGTATTTACTTTATGTACACTTGTAGGGAGTATCATATGGGGCAAAATCTTGGCCTACAGTTTGCTTATAACCATTGCGCTTTGATTTTTTAATGCGAAGTAAAATACTTATTAGAAAACTTAGAAGTTTTACTGGCTTAAGTTAAAGGAATTGTGTGACAGCGGTAAATGCTGAAGATGAAGACTGAATGGCGTGGTAGAAAATTTGTAAAAACTCTTACATTTTGGGTTATATTTGCAAACGACTCCGCTAAGGGCTTGACATGAAGTGTCAAACCATTTGCCATTGTCAAAGATCCAATTTGTTGTTGCACACGATACGTCTTCACCGCAACACTTATCCGGTTGTGTGGTATACCAGTTCACGTACTTGACTTCAGTTCCATCAGCCCACAGCCAACCACCCCGCGCAGCTTTTAACCCGAGCCATATGGGCTGTGCACCAGCTAGTGCTAAAAAATTTGTCTTGAAAATCAAGCATCACTTATGGCCAAGATTTACTGTAGTGCTACAGAGGAAATTTGAAGATTTGTAAAGGTTATGTAAATTTCCAAACAAACTGTTAACAAAGTTGGTTTCCGCGTCGGAATGAACGGATACTACAGCAGAATTTACAGAAGAACATGTAACCAATGCTTCGTCAAAAGTTACTTTGACGTCCGACTGAAGAAGACATATTTTTTTAATAGTATCCAGAACATTAAGTTGTCTTTTCAAACTTTAGAACAAACAGAAAGACGTGATTATTTTTTTAAACAATTTTCAATCTTCAACAAACTGTAAATTTTGAAGTAATTAATCCCATTTTTAAAGTTATTTTGGCTTTAGTTTTTTACAACACTCCAACGTTGCACTCATGTCATTTGAAGTAAAAGTCCGAAATTTAACTGGCGTAAACTTAGTGCATCTGACAAAAATTATTTGCTGCTCTCATTTTTAAGAAGTGATTATTGAAACCCAATTTTTTGCAATTGGTTTCATCTCACTTTGAATAACTTAAATAAAAGAAAGGGAAGTGTATAATTAAATTACCGACTACCTACCACATAATAGCAGTAACCGTTCCAAATAACAAAATCTTCGTCACAGTTGATAGCTAAAGAAACTTAGTAAGTACAAGGAATAGGTATAAATTAGTCCTGTTAGTTTATAGTTGCTTAATTTTTCATTTTAATGTAGTAACCAGAGTCGTTGGACAATATCATACTCGTATGTGTATATCATGCGTGATTAACAGTGACGGCAGTCATGTTGGAACTATTAATGCTTAGCAAATTACTGGAAAATAACAGTTAGAATATGACGAATGGATTACCTTTTGAAAATGGAGCGATATTAGAAGCCAGAAAAAAAATATGAAAGAAAAACAGCATCTTCTCTTGTTTTAAACGGAGGAAAAGAACCGCTCAAATGCAGCAACCAGGTTGATATTTCCTTAAAGCGAATAGAGCAAAAATAGGAAAAAAAATTGCTGATGACATGAAATCATTCGTCTTATACGCATCCGGTAGAAATTAGCCATTTTTGAATTCTTAGGTCAGCAAAACTGAATCGTTATTGAAAAGCACTCTTTTACTAAAAAAAGTAACGTGGAAAAGAATACTTATTAAGCTAGCGGTTTTTGATTTACGGATCTCGTTGTCGGCTGCCACCAAAGTTCTGATCAAGCTCGCTTGGATAGTTAAGTACCGGTAAAACAATAATTTTTGGACCTTCAGGCTTACCAAAAAGGCTTCAATTATTTGTACCAGCATGGAACTGAGAAGTTCATTATTAGATGGCTACTTTTTCATTTTATCAGTTGTGCTTCACTAGAAATTTAGATAGTTTTCTTTGACGTATAGGAGGTATTATTACAGAGGCTAAATTTTTATCTTTTTTCTGGGTATTTTAAAATTTCTCTACTAAGCGTTATGGTTAAAAAATGATTGTTTGCATATTACCTTTTTTTTTGCAACCTATCTTTTCAGTAAAAATTTTTTTATTCTTACCGATAATGTTGGAGGCCACGTTGACGTCATTTCGGCAGTAATTAGGTGCTTTATTTTTTCAGAATGATAGCTTAAGGTTTTTGGTAAAAATTGCTTGTATCAATCAATAATTTTTTGATTCTTTATTGAAGGCAACCGTTTACGTAAAATCAGCAAAAAAAAGACTGATTCATTTAAAAAAGAAAAAATCTTAATCGCGTCTTATTTCATTTTATTTTATTATATTTTTTTTGTGTTGCTTTCCTTTCTTTCTTTTTTTGACAGTGTGCTGCTGTGCTGCTTCTTTTGTTTCTGTTGTAACAGGTAGGCTGTTTACGAATAACAAACTATACAGTTTTTCTTTAGCCACATGCAGTTTGAAAGAATTCGATATAATTATAAGATTTAGATGTAAAATAGAGATTTCTAGGTGGTGAGGAAAACTGTGATGATAAACCTCTGGTAAAAAATTGAGTATGACAATGTAAAAAATAATGACCACATATTTTTAATCAGTTTTAAGTTAATATTACTAGTTGGAATGTAATAAAAGTGACAAATTTGTTTAGCCAGCTTCAGCTTCCTTTTTTGCTTTAACCATTCCCTGATCGCCATTATTTTAGTCTCTCATGTTGTAATCGTAAAACGCTTTTTTCCTTGGGATACATACTTAACTAGCAGCTGTGGAAGTACAGCACAGCGCCTTACAGAACTGTCCGCGAAGATAGACCAAACATTTAAAAAAACTTTGAAGCTTTTTTTTACGCTTTTTACTCATGTTCATAAACATGAATTTATTTTGGGAGACTTGAATATTTAGGCCATTATACATTTTCATTGGTTATTACGTTTAAGCTCGCAACTTAATTAATCTACACCACTATTGAGTTGTCAGACTGATATCTGTTATAATCATAGTCGGCGTTTGAAGTCAGATTTATTCCACACTCTCTCCGATCAGTCTCTTAATACCTCATCAAGTTCTTCAATTTCTGGTAGTAAGCAACTTGACAAAGTTACCAATTGCACCAATAACTGAAAAGAAAGTAATGATAGTTATTATTACATTCTTAACTAATTGTTATCAAGTATTTTACGCAGTTATAGCCGTTTCTTGGACAATCTCAAAGATTAGACAGAGACTACGCTATTTTCGTTAACCATTAAAAGTTATCCTTATTTTATTATTTTCATTTTCAAAAGATCAAAAAGAATTCTTGTTTTGGATATTTCTTTGTCGACAAGTTTGAATCAAAAGTGACAAGTAGATATACTTTTTTATCCGCTAATCAAATTTGCATTTAACTTTCTGAACTTTGTTTGGGTTTTCTTTTTCCTACACAAAATCAACTTCTCATTGTTATATAAACTATAAAAAAAATATCAACAGCCAAGAAAAAAACTTTGATTTCAATTTGTTATTTTGTACAAATTTTCGAGGTCAATTTTCAAGTTTCAAATTCAGCTTTAAAGATCTGCTTCAATCAATTTTTATCTTAGAACTGCCAAGTTCTGCGTAACAGCGTCGCACGTAAATTTTATTGACTCACCATCTAGTGGATTCGGATTTTCTCGTAAAACAGAGTTCGCTTCAGTAGTTGTAATTGGCACAGTCCTCACTGAAATAGCTACTTTACTGCGACCAGACGAGTAATTAACTTCAGAAGCAAATACAAAGAGGATTTATTGTTTTAGCAGATAATAAAGCTGGAAAAACGACAATGATTTTATCTTGAACTACTCACTACTGGGGTCATATTTGCAAACAACTCCAAGCTTTTCAAGACAGGAAGTATCAAACCAGGCGCCACTGAGCAGCAACCAGTTCATTTTTGCACACGTTACGTCATCTCCGCAGCAGTCGTTTGGTTGAAACAGCTGCCAGTTCTCATAAACAAATGGGCTCCCGTCACTCCATTTCCATATTGTATGGTTATCAACTGATGCCCTTCTCAAAGCGATCCAAATCGATCTCATTTTTGGATTGTCTACAAATCAAACAAATTAGTATCTTTATTAATGACATTAGTATATTATATGTATGTAAATTTA